CAGTAGTCTCACCAGTTTCACTTGCTTCCAAGGCATTTTGGGTACTCTTCAGAATACTATTAACTTTAAAGCACCAGCCAACATTACTTAAAAGATCACGCTCTTCATACTTACTCAGCCCATAAAATTATATTCAGAGGTCACTCCTGACTACCTCAGTAAAGAAGATAATGCAATTAGTTTTTAGGGAACGATTTTCCATGATAGTGCAGTGCCTCTCCAATACATAGGCACACCTGATGCCTATGTTGTTGCTGTTGTTTTAAAAAATGGCAATTTCTCAGTTTTAACCAAAAAATGCTGCTTGTTAGCTCTTAGGCATTTCTGCTTTCTTCATTGTTAATTCATTCTCAGCCTCACTTAGTATATATTTTCTATTTTGGGATTCTAAAGTACTGCTAAAGCAGAAGCATAAAAATGCTTTTGTCAAAAATTGTTTTAAAATCTATTGGAAGTAAAATGAGCAGAAGGCAGTAATTTTAAACGCTGCAACTGGCTGAGCTACTTGTGGCAAAGTAAGCCTCAACAATTCCTTTCCCCAGATTTCAGTAACTATGCTAGCAAGTTCAGCTAATTGGGCTGAACATACTCAAGGAGAAGAGAATCTCCCAATAACTACACTTAAGCAGGGGTGTGATTCAAATTTTTTAACAACCAGTTCTGTGGGTGTGGCTCAGGTGGTGGGCGTGGCTTGGTGGTCATGTGACTGGGTGGACATGGCTTGGTGGTCATGTTATTGGCTGGGTGTGGCCAACTCAATATCAATCACATTGAGGCATGCATCTCCTCACCTGGCCTCTCATGACTGTGGGGATGCTGCAACAGTCGTAAGTGTGAAAAATGGTTATAAATCACTTTTTTCAGTGCCATTGTAATTTTGAATGGTCACTCCACACAAGCAAAGTACCAGCAAAGGAGGGGAAAAATACTCCAGAGACGTTCCTGAGACAGGAAGTCTAGTCCTGCCAAAAATGTAATAAGGGTTAACAGAGAGGCAGTTTCTATAAGCAACACCAGAATCTTTCCTTCCTGCCTTCCTTACAGGACTAGGGCAGTAATTTCTTCTAACAACCGGTTCTTCAAACTGCTTAGAATGTTAACAACTGGTTCTAGCGAATAGGTGTGAACTGGTAGAATCCCACCCATGCACTTAAGTGTCCTGAAATACACTGCCATACCATTCTGATGTTTGAGAATTTAAAGAAGCTTGTACAATGCATTTTTTAAAAAGAAATGCAAGGTCATAAAAGCAGGGGAAACTTTCCAAAGACCTCGTTGTATGTAGCAACTCAATGTACTTTAAGAGCATAATCAATTCAGTTTTACTTCAAGGATAGTAGATACTTGCCAGGTTATTTATAAGGCTTTGAAGATATAGAATTTTCTCATTGCTACAAGCATCACACCTAGTAATCAACACTAATGTTTAGTGTTGTAAAGTAAGATGTAATGTATCCCTTCTTAAACCGGATTCCCCACCCTAGCTCCAGGCTGGGATTTAATGGAAATGCATTAAATATGGTAAGGACCAACTATAGTACCAGGGAATCAGCTGAGGTATTAACTGCTATAACAATTGAAATACTAGCAATAAATCAACGGGCTTCTCTGTATTTATTATGTGTAAAGTATTTTCAGGCCTGGGCAGGCTACAACCTGAAATAAAAACATCTGTAGCAGATGCTCCAGTCAGGGTTATTCAAAACTCTTGGAATTCCAAATGCTTTAAGCTCAAAATGTCCCATTTTGCGTTTGAAACAGGTATTTTGAACCTGAAACAAACTGATCTGACAGTTCCAAAAGTGTTTGAAGTTCAAAACAGGAAATTGGATTTTTCTCTCTCTCTCTCTGTTTCCTATTTCTCACCAGGGTTCATGTTTGCTGAACCAGCCACAGCTTCAGCCTTTAGGAACTGTACTGTAAATGTACCAAAATACAAAATTTCACATGGGAAAGCAAGGCACTTAAGAACGTCCCACTGGAGTTCCTAGAAAAGCGGAAATGTAGCTTCCATGGTGTTTGGGTTTTTTTCTCCCTTTTTGGACTGGGCATACAGCAAAGTGTAGACTAGAACAGGAGTTTTCAATGTTTCTTATGCTATGGTACCTTTAAAAGAAATAACCCTGGAACCCCTGATCAAGAAGGGAGGGGCCTTTGAATGTCAGCTGATATGTTCTCCCCCCCCCCATATGTCTCAGTGATCAAGAGGGGGGGGGGAACTCTCCACTGGGGACTAACAGAAAAAATGTAATTGTTCCAAAGAAGTTCCAGGGATTTTTGCAGATTTTTGCCCTCCTGGTGAACTGAGATTTCGTGCCTTGCAGAATTCCCTTTTAGAGACACAAAAACAATTCAAAGTCTTGCAGAATCTGTAAGTTCGGCAGATCTGCAGAATTAATTCTGAAAAACCCACCCTAGAGTATCATGGAATGGCAATAGAATCAAAGATGTTTAATACAGATAGTCCTTGACTCACGAACAGTTCATTGAGTGATCATTTGAAATTACAACAGCACAGGGGAAAAAAAGTGATTTATGACAGTTTTTCACACCTACACCCATTGCAGCACCTCCCATAGTCACATGATCAAAATTTTCATGCTTGCCAACTGACTCATGTTTTTGATGGTTGCCGTTTCCTGGGGTCATATGTTCACTTTTTGTGACCTCTCTGATAAGCAAAGTCAATGGAGAAGCCAGATTTGCTTAACTTAACCGAAGATACAATTAACAACTATGACAAGAAAGGTTGAAAATGGGGCAGAACTCATTAGCTGTCTCATGAGCAACAGAAATGTTGGGCTCAATTGTGGTCATAAGTCAAGGACTACCCATAATGCTGTATGAACTGGGGTGAAAAGTAACACACTCGATAAATATCTGCATAAAAAGGATAATTCAGCCTTCAGAATTTGTTGATGCATGCATTTTCAAACTGTTAATTTTTAAAAAAATGCACACCCCTATTAGTACTACTATTAGTAGGCAGAACATCTGGCAAACTGCATACTTTGAATTTAAGCTGCTTTTTCCTATTCAGGCACCAGTAAACCAAATGCAATCAAACTTAATCCAAAACATCCAAGATTAAGAACCTGTGGATACATGTTTAAATGCTTAAATCTCAAAATACTTGACTCCCACTTCATGCTCTAGAAGCAGAATGTGTTGTCAGGCAGTGAAAATCTTTTTAAATGACCTATTTAATTTTTAAAGATCGAGTTATTTTTCTAAGAAAAGGTAGCTGGGTGATGTAAATGTAGTTCAGCTGGGCTACACTCTTGATAAATAAGTGCTTTTATAATCTTGTCACATATTTCTCCATAACTATTTTTCAATTCAATTTTGATATGCCCATTGGAAGAATAATCATCTCTAGAATATCTTTATGTTTCAAAAATAAATCTGATAGAGAATTTAATTCAAATTAAAAACCACCTCTGGATTACAATTTGTACCACATCAGTATTAAAGTTTGTCTATGCTTAAGAGTTTATACGTCAATTTTGCAGGACTTTTCAGTTAAAATATACTTTTACAAATACAGATAAAAAAATTATTGCATAGTATAATCTCATTTGGTGAGCTATATTGATTTGCTCATGGTTGCTGTTTGATATTCATGCTTTGTTTAAAGCTTAAAAGCAATTTATTGTGTTTTTTTTTAAATATAATACATGCAATTACTAATTGCCTGATAACTTAACTAATAAAATATTGGAAAATTAAAAGCTCTCTGACATTTGTAAATCCCTTTTTATTCATTTGTATTTTAATCTTTTATCCTGTTTTTCCAATCCCTTTTGTTTGTTTATATAGGCTTTTACACTGAATAATCACCAGTGCATTTTGTTATTATATCATTAATACAAATTTACATATTAAAAATTCATTCTTTTCTATTTATAAACATAAGTTTAACAATACCATTTCTAAATCCGTTCTCAAATTATGGAATCTTGTTACATAGCACATCTTGAATCTCAATACTTAGGTTTCACTTTCAGGATATTGTTGTTACAGGCTTTTAAAAAAAATATAGTGGCACCCACGTGCTATCTTATTTTCAGATAAAATGTCTATTGTATTTTTCTCCTTAGGATGGAACAGAAGCAGAAGTGGTATTCAGCAAGTTCTGACCAGTTCTGGAGAACTCGTAGCGGAAATTTTGAGTAGTTTGGAGAACTGGCAAATACCACCTCTGACTGGTCCCGCCCCCATCTATTCTCTGCTTCCCGAGTCCCAGCTGATTGGCTGGGTCTTCTTTGGTTGCCCTGCACAGGAGAACGGAGCTGGAAAGCAGGTTAGTGGGGTGGGGAAAGAATGGGGATTTTGCAGTAACCTTCCCCAGCCACCCCCACCTAGCCACACCACGCCCCCCCAAGCCACACCCACAGAACAGGTAGTAAAAATCTTTGAATCCCACCACTGAACAGAAGGTCCTCTTTATCCTAAAGAGTCTCTCCCACCTGCTTTGCAAAATACACAAACAAATCAATCACAAACCACAAGGAAGGCAAAAAAGAGCCACCACTTTAAATAGTTGCTTAATTAAAGCTAAGATAACTCTTAAAGCAGCAGTACCCTTTTTCCTGCTCAAGGAGAAATCTGGAAAAAAAAAAGACATGCAGGTGGATAGTACAAGTGCAAATTATTTTAAAAGTATCTACATCCATCCATGATAACTAGTACTGTAATAATTTCAAATTGTAGTGTCTATATCATTTTGCTTTTATCTTTGCATTTAAAATATCATCATGCAAT